GATATACATATTGTATTTTGTTTTTTGAGCAAATGTATGTTTTTTTTTGTCATTCAAAGTAGTGTAGGCGGACCCATCTCAACTAAATGTCTATGCCATTGAATTCTGCACTAAAATCCCAGACGTTAAGAAAATTTTTTTTAGCCGGCTAACATCACTATCTGCAACTTTAAATACTCAAGTTTAGAAAATGATGTAACTTACTTTTATTATTATGTGCTAAAGAAGGATTAAAACGGGCATTATTATTATCAACTTTTAAATGATTTAAGTGTTTGTATGTCTTATTGTGTATGCGTAACTGGTCAGATTAACCCTAAAAAAATTTATTTACTCTACCAAAAAAAAAAAACTATTTTACTATTCAATAGCCCGTCAAATCAACGGCACTACCTCAAAACTAATGGATTATAAGGTATTCATAACGTCATACTGAATTTTGAGGTTCAAAAAAAATCGACGCATATGCTAAAAGTACATTTTTTGAGAACCTAGGTTTTTAATGATTTTATACATGGCATTTTATATAACAATTCATTATGTAGAGTAACGTTGGATATTTGCCATGGTGATTATTCTCTCAATTCTTTTTTATCACGATGAGAAGACAAAGGGTAATCATTTTTTTGGTGACATCACTATACTGTTATATATAAAATCAATATTTGGCCATACCTTTGATCATTGGTTATGAAAATTTGGTCGTATAATTGGTCAACGTCAATTTTGTCACGTTTCGTCAAATGCAACGAAATTAACAACTGATTTGACGAAATAATTCCTCGCCCTGAAAAGTATTTCGCCAATATTCTTAGTATATATAGTTAAAGTTAAAGCGTTGCCAAAATTTTTTTTAAAAAGATGGAAGTTCTAAGAAAGAAAAGATGTCGGACCAATAAAAAAAAGCTTAATCTGACTATGAATTATATCCTTCCGTCCCTTTGATTTATATAATAATAGATAAACTTATGGTTCAACATTTTAATTAATTTATAAAAATTAATTTCTTAAAATAGAATTAAATGCCTTCTAAATTCGAGTAATAAAATGGATATAAAATGAAGGAATGTTAATTGATTGATCAAATTCACAATATTCTTTCGTTAAAAAAAAAAAAAATCAAAAATAACTAATTAAATAAAAACATGTCATCCATTTTTTTTTATCTACGTGCTTCATTAAGACCATCCCCTCCATTGACAGTGTAATTAGTGGAAACGTCATATATAAAAACAAGCCCAACCGCGTTATTGAGAACATATTTGCTGAATGACAAATATACGTTGCAATGAGTCGTTAAAAAACTTGCATATTCTCGGTTTTGAGTATGCTCAATTAAAGGTCTCTAAAGCAGCATTAGAAGAATATAAAAGATTGGAAAAAGTTAATACTGAAGTGAAGGGTTGCAAAATTTAATAAGGCGGTAAAATTTTATTATGTGGAACAAATCAATCTTTTCTGCATTTGTAATTTTTTTTTTTTAAAAAAAAAAAGGTTTAACAAGCAATTTAATATTTAGTTAATTGGCGTTTACTACTCCTTCTCCTGCGAAGAAAAACAATCCGTCGTTTTTGTTTTATTATAATATTAAAATACAAATAAATTCGTGCACGTGCCGCCGCTCACTCATTGCGACGTTTAACTTAAATCTTGTTAATATTAATAGTAAACAATGGCTCGAAAAAAAATAACGTCGTTCATCATAAATAACAATAATAACGTAATTCAATATTAATATTACAAAGGCTCCTAGTACTATTTTATTATTATTATTATTATTAAATAAAGGACCGGACTTTAATTCTCCATCCTTTTGAGTTTATATCCAAATTTCCACAATGCTTGCAATGAACCAAAAAGGTCAGTCAGAAATGAAACAGCTGATTGGAAACCATTGATACTTTTTCTACATGGCACACAGCCACTCCAGTCACTATATGTGTCCCACTGGCTGACTTGATGAACATAGTTGATGACAAAATAATAAATGATCAAAATTAAAGAAATACAATCCAAAAAGCAAGAAAGTAAAAAATATTCGAGAGGTGAATCGGTTTGTTTTTCATTTTTTATTTTATTTATACATCCCAAATCAAAGGCCAATTTGATCGACTAGATGTTTATATCACTATGGCTGTATTCACGAATTAATTGAGTTGAGTTGAAATGAGGGTCAGGGTTGTATTGAGTTGAGCTGGGGTTGATTAATCGAGTTGTACAATCTACCTACATTCACAAATAATTTTTTTAATTGAGTCTGCTTAAATAAATTACTACGGTTTTGTTCCCATTATTATTTATGATGTTGTCGCTGCTTAGAATATGCATTAAAAAGAAATATGATTAAAAAAAAAAATCAAAGTTTAAAAAAAAAAAAATAATATTTAAAAAAAAATTGATGTTTAAAAAAAAATTTAATTTTTTATTTTTTTGAACTCAAATACTCAACCCTGGGTCCACCCAGGGTTGAAATTTTAATAGTGGTTTTCAACTCGATTACAACTCTAGAGTTGAGGGAACGCAACTCCATTAATTTGTGAAGAACAAATTTTGATTGTTAAAAAAATCAACTAAGCTTAATTAAAAAAAAAAAAAAGTTCCTTCGCAAAGAAATGAATCAAAAGCTATTTGCGAATTTTGATTTTTTTTTTAAAAAGATCTTTTGTCTTGATCTTTTCCTTGTGTTTATTTATTTTTATGCCAGATTAAAGGTCAATTTGATCAATTAGATGTTTTTTTCACTATAGAAGAATAAGTTTCGATTGTTAAAAAAAAATCAACTAAACTTTTTCAGTTTCATATATTTTTTGATGTCTTTTATGTTTCAAATTGGTGAGCAGTTTGAGGTTGAATTGTTTCGTAAAATTTTCTACGTTTTATTTTTTTTTTCTCGTTAATTAATTTATCAAATGATCTAGAATTTTAGAAGTAGCTAGATTTAAACATAAGACGCATTTTTCACTTATACCACAAAGGTCGTTAGAACTTGCCATTGCAACAAAACCAGACAAAGTGAACATTGGTGTTACCAATGATTTCAGGGATCAATATTATTACAATCATGATATTTGTCTAGACAAAAATAGTTAATATGAAACTCATTTACATCAGATCTATTATGGAACCCAAAAATTATAGTGCTAACAGAAGTACTTTGAAGAAAGAACAAGGTGAAAAAATTGCTCCTTACATTTTCAAAATAAATGATACTCAGACACTTGAAACTTATCTAAGAAAAGAAAGGATTACCTATGAAATTTACCAAGAAGAAGGAAAAAGAAAAGCATCATGATGATGCATTATTACCTAATAAAAAAAGCAAAAATCTTTAAAAGGAAAATAACTACCATTTTCTTTGATAGTTGGAATTATGCAGAGGGGAATAACCAAAAATTACTTTCTTATTTTCAATCAAGGTCACTTAGTTTCTTTAATTTCAATTTGTGCAGTTAGTTGTCCATTCTGTTGTAATTATTCTAACTGGTTCTTTAATTTCTCATTCTCTCCCTCATAAGCATTTAACCTATTGACCAACCCTTGAGGGGTTAAAGTTTTCAATTGTTCAATTTTCTGAGTCAATTTAATAATTTCTGCTTCTTGTTGTTTAATCTTATCTAACAACTCTTGCTTATCAACAACTCTCACATTTATTCATGAATTGCTGGTAAAAAATTGAATAAATAACAAAGTTTGATGAAACATTGCATTCATATATGTCAATATTGAAGACAAGATGACATGGAGTCTACAACAAAATTTTATTTTTTAGAAGGAATTGTAATTACTCTTATGATAACAGCACACCACATCAACCCATATCTTAAGTGAAAGAAAAAAAATTAAAACATTATATCTTTAAAAGAACAACCCCTATAATTTGTGTCATCATGTTCATTTTGTCCGGTTTTGTTGTAGTATGCCCCATATTATAGAACTTATAGAGATGGTAGACCAACTTCACATTAAGATTTTTTTCAAGTCTTATTTGTTTACCCTGGCAAAAAATATGTCAAAATAAAGGACTTTCCATATATTTTGATTTTTTATAATTCAAGGAACAATATTGGTTAAATCGGGTAGGTTTGAGTATACCAGAGTGATTTTTTACATATAAAATTATACACAAAGATCATCAATTTTATATGTGTGACACTTGACCCCCTGTATATCTGCAATGTCTGCATCTATCATTGCTTATTTTAGTAAAGCACTGATTTTTTGGTTTGCTGTCTTCATTTAAATATCTCAAAACTTTACTAATCAAAGTAGGTATAGTTCCTAAGCTAAAATTAACCCTTGTAAAGAATTGCACATAAGAATGTTGTTAACTCAAAATCGAGATTTTGCAGTTAGGGCTTTTTCTATTTTCTGTGCTCCATATGGTATATTTGAATTTTGGGTATTTTTAAATTTTTTGGGGATGGTATATTTAAATTTGGGTATAATTTTCTAAAAAAAAGTGGGCAGAGAAAAGGTGATTTACTATTAAACCTCAAATATACCATCTACTAAGATCCCGTTTAGGCATTTTAACAAAAAAAAAAAGGAATACATTTGAATTAAAAAATTGTTAAAAATCGCGCTCCATAAAAGGAATGATTTTCATAGAAAAATTTCACTATATACATATGTAAACTCGATAAGTCGGTCACTCGATAAGTCGGTCATATGAGCTCACCCCCACATGACCGACTTATCGAGTTTACATATGTAGTTGGCGCAGCATTTGATGTGTTTAGATGATTGGCATCATAAAACTATTACGTCAAATTCGTTTCCATTAAGTCAAAAATGACAAGCAAAAACACTTGATGTGAGTAAAATTGCTTTAAAGGCTAATAAAATATAAAAACATAAATATATATATTCAATTTTTTATTTTTATATTTTTCTTGTGCATCCCAGTCTTCCCAAAGAGCTATTTAAGCTCTTGTTTTTCTCTAAAAAAAAAAGAATTTGAATTAGCATACACAACAACAACAACAATAACAACAACATTATTATAAACCACTTACTTCAACGATTGATGTACCATCTCTAAACCTTGCAATAAACAAAACATTAGCATTATTAAATAATTCTTCTTTTAATGATATTACAATAAATTGCGATCCTTTAAATCTAGTTCGTAACAGTTGTCCAATGTTTTGTGTATGTGATAAATCAAGAGCTGCATCCACTTCATCAAGAATGTACATTGGTGCTGGTTTAAATTGTAATAAAGCTAAAATCAATGATAATGCAATAAGTGATCTAAAATAATGATTTATATTTATTAATTAATATATGCATATATATTTTAATTGATTCATTATAAAAAATTAACATTACCTTTGTCCACCACTTAATTCATTTAAACCCTCTTTCCATACTGAGCCAAGTTGTACTTTAACTTCTAAACCATCTTTTAATTCTTTATTTGCTGGTGGTTGAAGTTTTGCAAAATTGTTTGGCAACAATTCACTGAAAATTGCCCCAAAATCACTAAAATTTATATAATGATATATTATTAAACAAAATACATACACAATAAATACATGTAAAATTGTAACTTACGTATTAACTTTTTCCCAGGTTTTTGATACTGCATCATTTTTATATTTATCAAGTTCAACAATAGTATTCTCAATTTTTTTCTTATCTTTTTGTACAGTTGTCAACATTTTTTTTAAAGTAGCTTCATCTTGTTCCACCCTTATAAATAATAAAATTTGGACCTTTTATAAATCTAATATCTTATATTTTTTAACTGAAAAAAATAATAACATACCCATCAATCATATTCATTACTTTAGTATTGATTTTTTTTCGTATACTATTATGTTTTTCTTGTAATTGTTGTAACATTTTTTTACACTCATTTGGGCTATTATTCTCAAAATCATATGGAGAATTTACTTCACCAAAACGACTAGAAAAAATTTTAAATCCATTAATGAAAAACCACTTTTTTACTCTAATAATAATAATAATAATAATAATAATAAACCTACTGCTTTTGATGTGCAATCCAATCATTTTCTCTTTCCATTTGCTGAACAATTTGTTGAGACATTCCCTTTTCTCGAAGTACTTTGTCAACTTCATGATTAAGGTTTGTAATTTCCAATTGTATGTTGTTTAATTGATTAGTTTTGGCCCTAAATGCATTTTGAAGTTCTCCAAGTTCTTCATCAAAAGCAGATAACTTTTCTCTTTCCTTCTCTAACTCAATTAAAGCGTTATCATACATTTCCTAAAAAATATAGGCATGCATTCTGAATTTAATTAAACATAATTATAAACATAATACACTTTTAAAATTTTCAGAATAGTATCAATGATAAACCTTATTTGTTGTCATTTCTGTTTTCATTGCATCAGCTTCATTCTCTAATTGCTTAATGTTATTATCATAATTTTCTATTTTTTTGTTTGCATTTTGTAAATCCTCTCCAAGTTGCTCTAAACAATTATATAAAGACGAATCCCCTTTAATCATTCTATTTTTTTAATACATTCCTTTATTGTAATAAAATTTTTATAACTTACTAATTTCTAATTTTAAAGTTTGCACTTTTCGTTGCATATCTTTAACATATGCATTCAATTCTGGTAATTCAGATTTCCCTTTGGATACCATCCTCTTTTTGTTTTTTTTTTTTTTTTAAAAAAAATTAAAACAAAGTAAATAAATAATAACAAAAACCAATTGATTTAAAATTTACCTTAATATCTTCTATTTTTGAATCACGGTTATCATTAAGCTCTCTCATTTCATCTTCAATTCTTTGGCAATCTTGTAATGCATTATGATGTTTATTTTGTGAAGTTACAATTATAGCCTCTTGCTCACAAATTTGTGATTTTATGTTATCAACAATTTGAATAATCTAACAATAATAATCTTTTTTAAAAATTTAAACAATTATTTATTCAGATAATTAATAATTATATATACCTGTGAGTTACTACTTTGTTTTATCTGTTCTTCCAATAATGTAATTGCATGTGATTTCAATTCTAATTCTTTCTTTATTTGATTATATCTATTCATAATAGTTTGTGAGTTTCTTAATTCTGAATTTAAACTTTGTAAAACTTGCTTATGAGACTCCAATTCTTTTTTTATATCTTTAAGAGTTTGCATTTTTGTGAGAATCCCAGCCGAGGGGGGTTTAGATCCACCTTGAAGAGTACCAGATGGATCATAAACATCTCCATCCAAAGTAACAGATTTAGTATGGACATTCCTGTTAAACGTGACTCGTTTTGCTGTTTCAGCATCCATGCAAATCAATGTATTGCCAAAAACGTATTCCATTGCTGCTTTTACTTCATTAGCATAACATATCAAGTTTAATGCCAAATCTACTTTGTCTGGAGCAATTTGTTTAGAAATTGCAAGTTTCTATTACAAAAATAAAAATAATTAATATATAATTACATAAATTACAACATCCTTTCCTCTTTTACCTCAGATGACATTTTAGATACTTGGATTCGGTTTAGTGGAATGATAGTCACACGTCTTTTAAGTTGACCTCTTTCTAAAAGTTGTGTACCAACATTTTCATTATCTACAACAACCTGAAATTTAATAAATAAACAAATGTTATTTTTTTTTACATTAAAACAAAGCAATACAACTATCTATATGACAATAAATAAATAAATATTGTTGTACATTATATAATCTTCCACCAGCACAAATTTCTAAAGCTGTTGAACATTCGGCATATTTTGAATCTAAAGTAATCAATTCAACAACTAATCCTTTAACTTTATTTCTATTAAAATTTGATGTGGGGTCTTTATAAGTAAACTGAGTATTTCCTAATTGACTGGAAATATATTCATATTTCTAACAAAAATAAATGATTAAAAAAAATTACATATATGCAAAAATAATTTTACTAAAAAATATTAAAAATAGGAAACACAAACATCTGTTAATTCTTGTATCTTGGATTCTTCAAAGGACTTTTCACGCAATAAGTCTTCTTCTCTACTTGCATTCCAATCAATTTGTGATAAAGCTATTTGTAACTGTTGTGCTTCCAATCTTGAAGACTCTAAATCAGATAAAATACCTGTACTATCTCTTGCAGCTTTGGTAGCCAATGGTTCTTTTTCTTTTAACTCTTTTTTAAGATGTGAAATTTTTAATTTGGCTTGTTCGATTTCAGTTAATGCCTGAGTTGAATTACTTTTAGCCTCTAGTAAAATAACAAAATATATCTTGAGCAATTTTTTTTTATCCTCATATAAGTCATATATAAATAAATATGTACCTTGAAGTTGTTCCATATACCCATTTTCCTGACCTTCTTGAGCAGAAACACCAGTTGACAAAGTTTGCAAAAGTTCTTCAGATTTACGAACTTGTTCATTTTTTTGATCATGGATTTCTTTTGCCTCTTCATAATGAGTTTCATGCATTTTATACTCTTCAGTTTTTTGTATCAAACCTTGTTCTATCTATATAGAAAAGATTATTTATTTAATTGATTATACCCTAGTGAACTTTACTGAAAGAATTAGCAGTAGTTTTTTTTGAGAATCAAAAAAATTTTGGTTATTTGTTTATTAATTTACAAATACCTCTAATCTATCATCCAAGCATATATCTTTATTGTTTGTTTCTTCTTGAATGGAAGTTTTATTAAGTTCATATTTTGTATTAATTCTGACCATTTGGTTAGAATATTCAGTTACATTATTTTCCAATTCTTGTAATCTACCACCATTAGCCCTTTCCTATAAAACTCTATTGATTAATAATAATAATAATATAAAAGTATTGGAGTGAAAAAAGAAGAATATATAGTTAATAAAAATTATACCTTTTCTCTTTTTAAAGATGTTTGTCTGATATCATTTTCTAAAAACTTGAGTTCCTCCTTAAGTTCTTCAATAATTTCTTCTAAATCATTTATTCTGTTTTTGTTGTTCTCAATAATAGTATCGGATCTATCAAGCTTTTCCTTAATTATATGAAAAATTTAATTAAATAATTAAATAAATATATACACACATATAAAATTTCATATTAATATTGCAGGAAAAGAGCCATAATAATACTTGATTTTGTGTATACTCATATGCAATAATTAATCGACTTAGACGTTCAATGTCAACTTCTATTTTTTGAAATTCAAGATAAGAATTCTTTTCAGCTCTTAGTTTTTCCAATTTTGGTTCAATCACCTCCCTAAGTATCTAAATGCACATTAAAGAAGAATTATTCATATAAATTCTGAATATTTTATTATTGACTAAAAATATTTATGTACCTGAGTAATTTCTTGAACTTTTTTCTCTTTTTTTTCAATAGTACTCAAGGCTCTTTTCTTTCTCTCTTCAAACATTCTAGTGCCAGCAGCTTCTTCAATCATGCTCAAGATTTCTGGTGGTTTCATATTTAAAACCTTTGTGATTTTACCTTGCATAATTAAAAAATGTGGATTATTTATGTTAAGTTGAACTGATTCAAATAAATTTGCAACTTGTTTTTGCTGGGCTCGATGACCATTTACAATGTATTTGCTTTGACAATTCATAATCTATTTTATTAGAAGTTTTATTAATATATTTATATAAAGGTTATATTAACTGATAGATTTATAAACTTATAATGCACTTACTTGTCTTGTCACACTTATTTGACTATATTGTTCAAACCCAATAGGGCTATTTTCTCTATCTTCATTATTAAACACAATAGTAACTGAAGCTTTAGTAACACCTGCCTGTCCACGTTTATATATCAAGTCTTGTAAACTATTTGCTCTAACCTAAAGAGCAAGACAAAATAAGATATAACTAATTGTCTAATTAAGTAACAATATTTTAAATTTACCTTTGACAAGTTTGTAATCCCCAAGACAAAACAAATGGCGTCCAATATATTTGATTTTCCTGAACCGTTAAGACCTGTAATGGCATTAAATTCGGGATCCCAGCCGGTAATATGGGTACGAGTTGCATATGATTTGAAACCATCAATAATTAGTTCCTCTATTTTCATTTTTTAATTTTATAATTTATTTTATTATTATTAACGCGTCAACACGTATTTTTTTTATTTATTTTTAAATCTAAATTAAGTAAATGATCGACAGGATGATAAAAAAAATTAAAAGTCTTCTGCAAAGTATTGTTCTTCAGCAAAATAAGATGTAAGAACTGTACGTTCAGCAAACTTTCTTCCTGCGAGTGCTCGAAGTGCTATACCAGCTGCCTCTGCAGAATCGAATCGTACAAAAATCTTTAATAAATAAATAAATGTAATTAGAATTTATTTGATCAATTGATTAAATTATATAAAAATAAATAATATACCTTGCCAACACCAGTAGTTGATTGACCTGGTCTAGGAATTTTCATATCAACGATGCAACCAAATTTAGAACATTCTTCTCTAACATCCTCAACTATATCTATTTTAAATTATTATAATCATAGTTTTGTTTGATTATTAAGAATAAATGAAAAGCAGATATTTAATGAAATATAATAGTAATAGTAATAAAACAACCTTCATATTCTTCATCATCTACTAATTCCTCAGGAGTAACCATATTAAGAAGTTGAAGAACAGTAGTTGGTTGCATTTCTCCACTTCCAGCTGGAATAAGAACCGAAGATGACAGAACTACTGCCATGCCCAAGTTCTTAGCTGATCCAATACTAGCTCTTTGGACTACTAATTTACGATCACTAAGCTCCATATTGTTTAAACCTTGACAAGCTAAATCTGTCACACTTGGATCAACATATTCACAAAATGCAAATCCCTAAATAAATTCCCAAAAATATAAGTAAAATTAAATAAATCAATACACATATAACATATTTATTTTATTGTTTTTCAAACCTTAGAGACACATGATAAAGTATCTTTAACTAAATTGAAAGCTCTCAATTCTCCAAAAGATTTTAAAAGCTCCATAACTTGTTCATCATTTAAATAGGTTGGTAGACCGCCAATAAAAATTTTATTTGGGCTATCAGGTACATTTGTAGATACAACTCCTGGCACATGTATTGGTGGTGGCTCAAGATTTTGTCCAGGTGGAGGTTGATAATCTTTTGGTCGACGAATCTTTAATGATTGGCCTTGAAATGTAATTCCATCAAATGCCATTGCAGCTGTAGCTTCTTCAGGTGCATGAAACTATTAAAAAAATTTTATACAATAATGATTATTATTATTTAATGAATAAAATAACCACAGAAAAAAATATAGACAAGTATAATAGTTATTATTAATATTTATTTAAAATGGAAATAATTATTACTTCAACAAATGCATAGTTTTTATCATGATTGATTTGAACAGCTGTAACTGGATTGCTGGGTGCAGTAGTAATATTCAATTGAAGCATTGTAGAGTTGAAAAATTCTGATAAGCCATTCTATTGTATCAATGATTAAATAATATTAACAAATAATTCCAGAAATTTAAAGAATAATAATATTATTATTATCATTATTGCCAACATAAAGTCGTCTAGCTTGTCTTGCTAATGATGCAGTTTGTGCAACTGGACCTGTTGCTCCTTGACTAACTTTAAATTGTGGTGGAAGTTCATGTGCCATACCTAATATCATTGCTGCCCTTGATGGGTCCATTCCAGGTATTACTGGTGAATTTGGAACTGCTGATGGTCTTGTGGTAGAAGTTTGTCCAGGAAGTGGAAAATACCCTGATTTATTTATATTTAAGAATTAAGAAAAGCTTTTTTTT